CAGATCCAAGTGATTCTCCTGCCTCAGCCTCCCAAGTAGCTGGGACTACATGCACGTGCCACCACGCCCAGCTAATTTTTTGTATTTTTAGTAGAGACGGGGTTTCACTGTGTTAGCCAGGATGGTCTCAATCTCCTGACCTTGTGCTCCGCCTGTATTGGCCTCCCAAAGTGCTAGGATTACAGGTGTGAGCCACCACTCCCGGCCAATTTCTTTTTGTAATAAAAAACTTTTCACTGGATAATAACAAGCAGTATCCCATTACTAACAGCTATTCTCTTATCTGATCTGTTAATCATCCACTTATCTAAAAATGTATACTCACAATCTAATTCTAGAATATTTTTCATCACCTCAAAAAGAAATCCCATACCTATTAGCAGTCACCCTCCCATTTTCCTCTCCGCCAGCACCAAGCAACCAATAATCTACTTTCTGTCTCTATGGATTTGCCTATTCTGAACCTTCTGCCTATTCTGAATCACATATAGATTTGTTTGTTTGTTTGTTTTGTTTTTGAGACGAAGTCTCGCTCTGTCACCCAGGCTAGAGTGCAGTGGCACGATCTCAGCTCACTGCAACCTCCGCCTCCCGCGTTCAAGCAATTCTCCTGCCTCAGCCTCCCATGAACTTTCAATATAAATGAAGTCAAACAATATGTGGCCTTTTGTGTCTCTCCTCTTTCACTTAGCAGAACATCTTGAACGTTCATTCATGTAGCATGTATCAGTGCTTCAGTACATCAGTAGCATGTATCAGTCATATTTATGGTGGAATAATATTGCACTATATAAATCACATTTTTTAAATTCATTCATCAGTTGATAGACACTTGGGTTCTTTCTACTTTTTGGCTATTATAAGTGGTTCTTTTTTTAAAAACATACTATTTAAGAGGTTGCCACTTTTACTGGGTGTACAACTTTCTACAGATATAAAATTTCACAGAGCTTCATGTTATAATAGTCATTAAATCCCTGAAACTATAGGAAATCTAAAAGAAGAAATATCAGCTAGAGCTATGAGTTAATTTTTTCTTGTCTTACTAATATCTTGTTGTGGGTTTTTTTTCCCACACCTAAATTTCCAGGCCCAATCTAATTTGCACAGCGAGAGCAGAGGCTACAATTATGACACGCTTATGAATATTAAAAATTATTACCCTCATCATCCTCCTCTTCAGAGTCTGGTGCTTCATTATCCTCCTGATCAAATCCATCTAAGTATGTGATTTGCTGCAGCAGTTCAAAAATACTTTCTCTATAATCTTCCAGGTTTGTGATCTCGCAGTTAAACAGGTCAAGACTTTTCAAATTTTTAAGATTTTGCTGGAAAAGTAAAGTTAAAACTTACATTCAAGACTTAAAATACCATTTTATTTATTTTTTTTTTTGAGACGGAGTCTAGCTCTGTCACCAGGCTAGAGTTCAGTGGCGCCATCTCAGCTCACTACAACCTCCACCTCCCGGATTCAAGCGATTCTCCTGCCTCAGCCTCGCGAGTAGCTGGGATTACAGGCACATGCCACCACACCCAGCTAATTTTTATATTTTCAGCAGAGACGGGGTTTCACCATGTTGGCCAGGATGGTGTCAATCTCCTGACCTCGTGATCCGCCCACCTCGGCCTCCGAAAGTGCTGGGATTACAGGCGTGGGCCACCGTACCCGGCTATGTTATTTCTTTTCTTTTCTTTTTTTTTTTTTTTTTTTTTTTTTTNAGTAGAGACGGGGTTTCACCATGTTGACCAGGATGGTCTTGATCTCTTGACCTCGTGATCCACCCGCCTCGGCCTCCCAAAGTGCTGGGATTACAGGCTTGAGCCACCGCACCCGGCCTCTTTTCAATTCATGATCCAGAAAATATATATTTGAAATTAAGAATGATTTTTGTATTTTTTAGAGTTTTATAATTAAGGGCTATTATTATCAATCACAACCAGCTCACCTGGCTAATTTTTTTTTATTTTTTATTTCTGTAGAGACAGGGTCTCACTATGAGACAGGGTCTCAAGCTGCTGGACTCAAGCGATCCTCCCACCTCTGCCTCCCAAAGTGCTGGGATTACAGTAATAAACCACTGTACCCGGCCTCCAATCTTTTTTCAAAATCAGAGCAATAAGTGTCATTTTTGCTTTTCCTTCCCTCACACCAAGAAAGAAGGAGGTAAATAATAAAATAACTCAAAAAATAATCAAGAAGGAAGGCAAAGGAAAAAAAAAAAAAAAAAAAAAAAAAAAAAAATACTGGAAATTTTTAAACCAGATAGTCAACTCCTTAAAGTTGACGGTTAAATTTTTCATTGATTTAAAAATTCATCTGCATATTTTGCTCTAAAGGAAAAGAAAGCAGTAACTGCCTAGATCATAACATACAAAAAATTCAGGAGTTTCAAGAGTTAAATAGAAATTAGTTAAGACACAAATCTCAGAAAATTTAACCAGAAAAAGCAAGTCCAGAGACAAAACCGTTCCACTTACCAGAGCTTCTACTGTACTGAGATCTTTTATTTTGTTTCCACTCAGATTGAGGTAGGTAAGATTTGGACATTTCTCTGCCAGGACTTCCAAGCCTCCGGAAATTATATTGTCACTAAGCTCTAACTATATATTAAACACAGGAAGAAAACAAAGAATAGTTAACGTAGCATATCAGAGTTTTTTTTTTTTTTTGGAGGCAGAGTCTCGCTCTGTCGCCCAGGCTGGAGTGCAGTGTGCAGTCTCCACCCACTGCAACCTCCATCTCCTGGGTTCAAGCAATTCTCCTGCCTCAGCCTCCCATGAACTTTCAATATAAATGAAGTCAAACAATATGTGGCCTTTTGTGTCTCTCCTCTTTCACTTAGCAGAACATCTTGAACGTTCATTCATGTAGCATGTATCAGTGCTTCAGTACATCAGTAGCATGTATCAGTCATATTTATGGTGGAATAATATTGCACTATATAAATCACATTTTTTAAATTCATTCATCAGTTGATAGACACTTGGGTTCTTTCTACTTTTTGGCTATTATAAGTGGTTCTTTTTTTAAAAACATACTATTTAAGAGGTTGCCACTTTTACTGGGTGTACAACTTTCTACAGATATAAAATTTCACAGAGCTTCATGTTATAATAGTCATTAAATCCCTGAAACTATAGGAAATCTAAAAGAAGAAATATCAGCTAGAGCTATGAGTTAATTTTTTCTTGTCTTACTAATATCTTGTTGTGGGTTTTTTTTCCCACACCTAAATTTCCAGGCCCAATCTAATTTGCACAGCGAGAGCAGAGGCTACAATTATGACACGCTTATGAATATTAAAAATTATTACCCTCATCATCCTCCTCTTCAGAGTCTGGTGCTTCATTATCCTCCTGATCAAATCCATCTAAGTATGTGATTTGCTGCAGCAGTTCAAAAATACTTTCTCTATAATCTTCCAGGTTTGTGATCTCGCAGTTAAACAGGTCAAGACTTTTCAAATTTTTAAGATTTTGCTGGAAAAGTAAAGTTAAAACTTACATTCAAGACTTAAAATACCATTTTATTTATTTTTTTTTTTGAGACGGAGTCTAGCTCTGTCACCAGGCTAGAGTTCAGTGGCGCCATCTCAGCTCACTACAACCTCCACCTCCCGGATTCAAGCGATTCTCCTGCCTCAGCCTCGCGAGTAGCTGGGATTACAGGCACATGCCACCACACCCAGCTAATTTTTATATTTTCAGCAGAGACGGGGTTTCACCATGTTGGCCAGGATGGTGTCAATCTCCTGACCTCGTGATCCGCCCACCTCGGCCTCCGAAAGTGCTGGGATTACAGGCGTGGGCCACCGTACCCGGCTATGTTATTTCTTTTCTTTTCTTTTTTTTTTTTTTTTTTTTTTTTTT